GACCTCATGATCAGCAGTCGAACTACTACAACCGCTAGACCAACGAGGTAGTCAAGATAAGCAGCAGTCCAGTCCAGATAGCAGTATAACCATCTGCTTACGCCAGGCGTAAAATACCTTGACTGACAAATTGAAGCAAGTCAAAGGTTCGAAAAGTCTGGGATTTGACCATTCATCTGCTTTGCAGAAGCATTACGTTTAAGGCAAATATTTCCTATATCGGGAGAGGTCCATTTCCAGGTGTGGAGTTAAATTGGCTGATATAGAAGAAGAAAAAGCGATAAGATCAGATCAGATGCAATGTCAGATACAAATAAACTACTCAAGTGTTTTTAGCTCTTTCCTTAACCTCACATTTATTCTTAGCAACAGCTATATGGAGTTACAGAGTACGAGTAAAATACCAGGTAAAAATCCCACTACTGAGCTCAGCTTGTTAAAGGTTTCGTTTTGTTGTACAAGGAAGCGACCATCGCGCTTCACCAATGTCTGTGGTCTGTGGCAGACTACAAAAGTCTCCGAATTATTATTAGCCTAAGTTTATGTGATAAATTCGGATGCAGATATGTATGTGTTTGTGTAAGAAATACTGCAGTATATACAACACGATCTGATTTAAAATCCAACAATTTATGTTATTGCACTAATTTTATTTCCGATTTGAACTTCGGTTAAGATTTGAACTCTTAGAGTTTTTTTTTATAGAATAAGGGTGACAAACGAGCACACAGCCCACCTGATGGTAAGTGGATGCTGTGGCCCATAGACATATATTAATCGTCAATTAAAATTTAAAACCTAGATGCGTTGTCACCCCTGAGCACTAAGATAGAATGCCTTGTTTCCCGTAAAAAAGGGTCTCCGGATCTCTACACTCATCATACGAAACACAGCAGTATGGAGTGTAGAAGTAAGAAGTACCAACTCCCATACTAGAATAGTTGAAAAAGTGGTCATCTGTAAGCAGTAAATAATAGCTCAAAAACTCTCCACAACAGCGCTGGAGTAGCTACTGGGATGAAATGAACTTAGCAGTTGCCGACGGTTTAAGTGTGCTGCTAAACTACTCAGTAGCTCTAAAATCTAAAATAATTTTATTTAGTAAATATAACCTCGAAAAAGTCGTTTTCCCCACTTATATATTTTGGTGCGTTCTTTAAAATTTACCCCGTAGCTATAGTGGCGCCACCCTTATTTAAAGGTTTTTATGGACACTTTTAATACACAGTCTGTACTCCTTTCTTCTACACTCCATACACAGCAGTATTGAGCTGCTATTTTGCACTGGTATTCTGTGAGAGCGTGTTCCTTCCCCGGTCGAGCCGACTCATTCGTGCTACAACCATAACATAGCTGTAGCGTATTTGTTGTAGAATTCTCCATCTATAACCCGATTCCTATTCAAATCATGTACTCTGCAATCTCTTCCAAATATTAATATTATTAATTAATTGGTCTTGAAACAAAATAACATTACTTTCTAAGCAATATCCAGACAACTTTGATAAAGACATTTCGCTCCCAGCCTATCTGGTCGCGGAGGCAAACGGGACTGCCCGTGGCCCTCAAACCGCGCCGCGCGAATTGTCGTGCCGCCCGCCGCTTCGCCGTTCGCGCCGCCGATCCCCGTGGCCAGGCCGAAGACCTGACTTATATGCTGTAGATATCTATGGCTGAAGATATCAACACAGTGCAAGCCGAATGTTAATTCAAATGTTGTTAACGTGTTGATATATTAAATCTACTATTAAATTATCTTCAATGTACAAATGTAATACTGGAATAGAACATTTAGAGAGATATCTTAACGCTGATTGTGGTGGTGATATAATTGTTAGAAAATGTACTATAAGGTACTGTTTTAAAGTATTTGGTTGTCTGGTGTTATGGGGTTCAAAGAAACAACAGTCTGTATCAATCTCCTCTACTGAGTTTATTGCTATAAGTACGGCAGTCATTTAGCTTGCTGGTTAAGGTCGTCGTTGATCATTGATAATTGGAAATATGAATTAAATACATTTACAAGTATCTAGGAAATAGTTGTAGATTAAAGCATTTGAACATTAGGTTTTTATTAAAGAAAAGATAGAGAATGCATTGGGAACACTATCACGGTACTAAAACAAGAACTATGGCGCAGATTTTCTTATTTGGAGAACAACGTATTGTTTGTTATGGCTACTTTCATTGATTCGAGTTTCAAAGCAAAATTTTCAAAATATCTGTAACTAATTATCAAATTCCGAAAACCATTATAGAATCAATTGAATACGATTAATCAATTCAGTCTCCTTGTTCAAACCTTAAGCTTGCGAGGATGACTAATCATGGGATGGATACCTCTGCATCCACTGCCTGTCTATCAGTGAAATCTATATCTCTAAGATACAACATGTAATTGCTTACGGATTTCAGTAAAAGTTAGAAAAAGGAGAGTATGAAAGCCCAAGCCCTGTAAAAGTTTTAATTTAAAAAAAAACATCAGTAAATATTTAATAAACGTGTATAAAATGACGGAGATCCACTTACATAGTAGAAGATGATGATGTTGTGACCAGGATTAGGAAAGGAAGCCGTTCAATAAATGTATTATTCAAAAATTGAGCTCTGATCACTGTGGACAATTAGTTTCGTTACCTTATGTTCACAAAAAGCAAGTAAATAAAAAAGTAGTGTTTGTTCCAGTAAATGCACGTCGCTCTCTCTTCTTCTCCAAGTTTAGAAGTAACATAGTAAAAAAACTTCCATCACTTTTGTACCAAAATAATCCCGATTTTTTGTATGGAACATTATTTAACCTTATTTGCAATGAATTTAATGATACTTTTACTTCTAAAACATTCTCCTTAAACAATCGCAAGGCATTAAATGAGTGGGCGACAGTAGGAGTCCATAAGAGTAGACAAAGTTTATATGAACTTTACAATGAAAGGTCATATAATCCTAGCATCGAATTTAGGGAATATGTAAAAAAATATTCCAAAATATTTAAAAGAGTGTGCTCCATAGCCAAGTCATTGTATTTGAGCAACAAAATAAAGACGGCTTCTAATAAAATTAAAATGACATGGCGTATAATTAATAGTGAAATTGGGAAGGTTAGCTCTCGCAATTCGAACTATCAGTTAAGTTTTAACAATAAATTAATTGAATCAGATCAGGACGTTGCAATGGTTTTCGAGAAATATTTTACTGATATTCCTATCTTAACCACTAAGTCACTGAATTCTTCTCCTGTCGTCGCCGAATCATTACTTAAACAGAATGTAAATGCGTGTGCAAAGAATTTTACATTTCATAAAGTGTCATCAAAAGATATTCTAAAATATTTTAAGACTATTGATATTAAAAAACCGCCGATCTGTGGGGGATTTCCGTTAAAGTTATTGCGTCTATAATAGATGTAATCGTGCCTCAACTATCTATTATTTTTAATACTAGTATCAAATCTGGTGTGTTTCCTGATTTAATGAAGCATAGTAAAGTAATACCTTTATTTAAATCTGGCAGTACATTGGACCCCGCTAATTTTAGACCTATTTCTATACTGCCAACACTTAGTAAAATTTTTGAAAAAATGATTCTTGATCAAATGTTAAATTTTTTTTAATGTAAATAATTTACTTCATAAAAATCAATTCGGTTTCACAAGGGGTCGCTCAACAACTGATGCTGGTGTTGAGCTTATTAAATATATCTTTAATGCATGGGAGAATTCACAGGATGCTTTGGGTATATTCTGTGACCTATCCAAGGCCTTCGATTGTGTTCACCATGAAACATTAATCAGGAAACTTCAACACTACGGTGTAAGAAGTGATGCTCTTAAATTAATTATTTCATATTTAAGTGACAGAACGCAAAAAGTTGTAATTAATAGTATGAGTTCTTCCGGGTCGACTGTACAAATGGGCGTGCCTCAGGGCTCAATTCTCGGCCCCTTTCTGTTTCTTGTATATCGTCGCCTTAATTCTAATAAAGCGTATCTCAGAAATGACAACTGTTCAGGATGGTCAAAAAACTGTTTTTATTATTATAATTATTTGACAACACTATAAGTGATGATCTGAACCAACTATCAAAATATACTAGTATATCTTATTTTGACATTGTAATACAATTTGCTTGTCCAAGTACCTCAACACCTGAGTTACGCTTTATTAGCATGATTAATTTACTGAGATAATGTTTATTAACATAAAAAAATTAAAGTCACCACTGTATTATATTTTTTTATTTGTCTTCAATTAAGATAGTTTAGCACTTAGATTAGTAATAATGGCACTTTCATTAAAATTAGGAATCATCAAAAAGTATCAAACAAAAATAAACTTCTATTAAACAATTAAAAAAACAATCAAAAATAAAATTCTTAGTAGGAATTTAAATTAAAAAAAATGCTAACATCAACTTTAACTCTCATTTAATATATAAAATATTTACTTAATCTTTAATCAGTCGTTGCCTTAGGCAAATTGTCGTAAAAAGAATGACAGTCTGTTGGCAAAATGTGTTTTAGATCTTGGAGGTCTTTCCCTTTTCTTGGCTTCAGTGGTATTCTTCCTGTGTACATTGGATTAATTGTGTAGGTACCAGGCTTCCATCTGATGGGCAACTCTTGCAAATCATCCGAAAAATTATGTTTAAATTGAATTTTTCCATCTGGCTCATATCGCAACTGCCGGATGTCGGTGACAGTTGGGTCACCAGCTTTCCTTCCAGGTCGAATGGAGGTTTATCGTTGCAGTACTGAAAAATCTTTGAAAAACTTATGGGAAAGGTATTTTGCGTCATATTTAGGAATTTTCTTCTTTGCATCTTTAGTAAGCTTAACATACTCATGAGGTAGATTTATGTCGTTTTTTTTTTAGTTTTATCTCAATAACGGAATGTACTGAGTCAAACTCCATTTGGGTATGGCCCTTTTCCAAATATTTTTGTGTGATTACTATGTTTTCTTTCATAGCCAAGTCAAGAAGAGCATTAGCCATGATAGAGTTTCAATTCTGGGCTGTACATCCATCACTAAAAATAACTAGTGGAATAGTTTTAGGAACCTTCTCTTGTATGTAGTCTACTAGACAAGAAGCGAAGTTGGATGCTTGTAGCTCGCCTTCACATTCATGCCACCAATAACAGGTTACTTCGTGAGTTGCTAAGTTGTAAACTGTAAAATTATGACAACAAAGCTTTGTCTTATAATAGACAGCACTAGCTTGAACTTTGGGACAAACCTTCTCCTTCTGCAAATCTACAGTAAGTACCGTAATTTTTCCATCAATAGCCAACTTTTTATCAGCTTCTTTTTCTAGTCTTGCAGCCTTTTTCTTCTCAATATGTTTTTTGTAAACTTCTTCTGTCACGTTTTTGGTTTCATAACCACAGCAAACATCACACCTATCCTTCTTTGGCTTGGTAATGCTTAAGTTCAGTTCATTAAACTTGTTAAAAAAAACAAGCTGATATTGGTTTCACCTTATCGCTTGCGCATTTTTCCTTGTAAATGTTGTATACATGGCTTTTACTTTCGAATACTGGTTCAAGATATAGTTTCGTTGATGTACTTCTACAGTAATGTGAGGGTAGCTTAGGTATTTCTTCAAAAAACTTTAGCAGATGTTCAGCTTGACTGATTCCACTGGAGGTTGGTGTCTCAGTAGATCTTTTTTTGCCTCTGTTGCTTTTTTGCTTTGTAGTCTCAGTTAATGAGATACCCGACTTTGCTTCTGAAATCCAAACCATGCGTTCTCTGATTCCTAAAGTATTCAGAAACATTTTTTTGCAGACTTGGTTTGTTTCCTCATTCAGCTTTAGATATTATACATAGCTTTGTTGTCTTTTAGTGTCAGTTGTGAATCTACTGTCTTTTGTTTGATTGAGATCTTGTCTATCATTGAAGAAACAAAACTTTTCTTCCCTGACCAATAGAGCTCCTTCTAAAAGTTATCAAAAATAAATTGTCTGTCATGCTCTCCGAACTCGGAGCAAAACCGCTTGGCGCTATTTTTGCAGAAGTTGGAGTCACATGTTGGACCCATCTGCCTTTAACTTCTTTGTATACCTGTCGTAACCTGTTTTTCCTTTCTGGAATATCCTGAATAACTCTCCCCGCATTCTCTTTTCTTTCGTTATATTTCTTTGCCATTCTGTACAAGCAGCATGTTTTCTGCGTTTGGGCTTGTTCTCTGGTTCTTCAGTGTCAATTGTTTCAAGTCCAGATTCCACAACCAATGTTTCTGTGTCTATAATCGGTTCAGTAGAGTCATTCAATTCTACAACTCCAATTGTTTGACTATCATTGGTAGCAAAATGCGTGATTTCCAATTCACTGACACCTTCCGAAGCTTCGCATACTTTAATAATAGCATTCGATTTAGGGGCACCTTCATCAATCCCGGTAACAGAAAATGTGTCTTCAAATTCAATTTCAGGACCATTTTCAGTAGCAACACTAAGTAATGAATCCAAGTTCGACGCTTGTACATCAACTTCTAAAGGGGATTCTTTTGGGCACTTAAAGGAAGGATCAGATTCGGCTGCTATATTAATCGCATGAAGGAGTTCGTTGTCTGGTTTGTATACTAAAATGTTCTCTAAAATTTGTATCCGGCTCTGATGTTTTTTCTTAGAATTCGTTATTTTTATTCCATTCTCTGCTAATATTTGAAGGATTTCCTGTTCCTCATCATCTGACTGCAACAAATCCATTTTGATGATATCTAAAAGCAATGACAAAAATCTATGTGAATAGGCCGTATTTCAAAGGCAAACTATAAAATTTAAATTTGAATAGGTCGTATCTCAAAAGGCACTTTTAAACTCGTAATTATTATATTATAAGTGGTTTTCCACAAATGAAGTATGTTTTAAAACAGTAAACAAATGTCAAATAACAAAATATATTTGATTTCATACCTTGGCAGCTTCTAAAAACAATCACACATCACTTAAATCGCAGAGCAACCTGCGCGATGGCGACAAACTATGGCGACTCAATGAGTTAATACATATTCGCAGAAAGATCGAGCGATCCGAGACACGTCGCATTACGTCAAGTCTTTTATCTCACTCTTTTTCATACAAACTTTGCAAAGTAAAGAAAGAGAAAGATGTACTTTGTCGCCTTTATTCAAAGCAGAGATACGACATATTAGAATTAAGGCGACGATAAGCTGTGTCTGAAAACTAATTGTACATTATTGATCTTGTATTTCGAAACTTAATCGTATTCCTTTGTATTTTTTTGACTTTGTGTGGTACCTTCTTGCTGCTATGTTTAAAATTTTTTAAAATTTAAGTTCTTTTGTATCACACCGTTAAAAATATGTTCTTTTTGCATTACTGTTTGTTTTGGTGAATCTTGTTGTCAAATAGTATTCATTAAGTTATCTTGTTAATTAAGTGACTAACTTAGTGATTAACTAACAGTAAACTTTTGTCTTATTATGCTTTGATCAAGTAGGTTAGTGTTAATTACTTTTTTTTTAATTCTTATTATCATTGTAAGCTTTAGATATTCCTTTGCAATCAGTCAACTGTTGGGTGATGTATAATATGTATTGAGTCGTATTTTGTAGTTAGTCTAACAATAATAACATATTATTATATTATTTAATAACATATTATTATATTATATTTTTTTATTTATTTAAAATTTATTATTCTTATATCTCTATTATTAATGTTAGATATGTCGGATGATGAATCTTTTTATTCTGCCCATGATTCAGATATCTCGTTCGAGTCTTGTGATGGTAGTGATAGTATGCCCTCCCTCCGCGATGAGCTAATCAATTTATTTACTCCTTGTAAAAACTTGCTTAATATATGTCATGTCAATGCTCAAAGCATTCCAAGTCACTATTTTTATTTTGAAGAAGTTTTTTCTATAGATTGTGTTCATGCAATCTTAGTATCAGAAAGTTGGCTAAAACCATCATTAATGTCCAGCTTATATCCTCTAAATGATTTTGTTCTTGTGCGTAACGACCGAATTGAAAAAGGAGGAGGTGGTGTTGCCATATACCTTAGAGCAAACATCCCTTATAAAATAATTTTAGCTTCTCCATCTGCGTATTCTGCCTCACCGGAGTTTCTGTTTCTGGAAATTGATATCAAAGGTGTAAAGGCAATTCTTGGGGTAGTGTACTGTCCACCTACTGTTAATTTTTTCGACGCTCTTGAAAGCGCCCTCACTTCCACTTCATCTGAGTACATGCACTGCATAATAATGGGTGATTTCAATACTGATTTGTTGAGAAATTCTTCTCGTTCTCAAAAATTTCGGTCAATCATAGAGTCAGTCGATCTCCAAATTCTCCCCTTAGCGGCAACTCACCACAATATTGACACTGATGACTCATGGATTGATCATATTATCACGGCTTCTCCCGATTATGTCATTAAGCACGGACAACTATCGGCTCCTGCTTTTTCACGACATGATCTTATTTATATATCATATAAGCTGATTTCTCCTAAACTCAATCCCGTCGTACTATACATTCGTAATTTCTCCAGAATAGATTTTGATAAACTTAAAAGTGACGCCTATCGTATTGACTTAACCTCTTTATTTAAATCAACTTGTATTGACGATAAAGTCTCAATCCTTAATAATATAGTTCTTGGTCTGTACAACAAACACGCTCCCAAACATCAAGTAAGAGTGAAGCGTTCACCAGCCCCGTGGATGACTGAGGCCGTAAGGTTGGCAATGACTAGGCGAGATCGAGCATTTGTGAAATTTAAGAAGCATCGTACACAGGACAGCTGGGATCGCTACAGAGTGCTAAGAAACAGATGCAATCAGATGGTACGAAATGCTAAACGCCGTTATATCCATATAAGTAATATTGCAAACTCTTCAACCGCTGATGTGTGGAAATTTCTTAAAACACTAGGTATTAGTAAGGCCGTTACATCTGCCCGTGGTCCATCAATCACTCTGGATGAAATAAATCATCACTTTATTTCTACTTCTCCTTTGGATCCCACAGTTCGTTCTACGACAATAGCTTCCATTCAATCCATGCCATCTCCTCCTATTCCTTTTTTTCACTTCTTACCTGTGACTGAGGATGAGATACAGAAGTCTGTACTAGCTATTAAATCCAAGGCCGTGGGTTGCGATGAGGTTAGTAAGGTTATGGTATCCATGATCCTTGAGTGCCTATTGCCTGCAATCACACATATCATAAACTATTCCCTTGACTCAGGTCAATATCCTACTCAGTGGAAAAAAGCATTTGTGCGACCACTTCCTAAAATACCTAATCCCTCATTACCTACCCATTTCCGACCAATTTCAATATTGCCATACCTATCTAAAGTTCTGGAAGCCTGTGTTCACAAGCAAATCTCTATGTTCATAACCAAACACAATCTGCTGAATAAATATCAGTCAGGCTTTCGTGCAGGTCACAGTACTACCACTGCATTGATAAAAGTTACAGATGATATTAGAATGGGAATGGATGAGCAAAAGCTTACGGTGGTAGTGCTTGTTGACTTTTCAAATGCTTTTAACACAGTCGACCACGATATCCTTATAGCCTTCCTAACTAATCTTAGATTCTCAATCCCAGCTTTGGAATGGTTTTCATCCTATCTTCGCGGCCGCCAGCAATCAGTACGATTAGGACAAGAGTTCTCAAGATGGGCTGACATTGAAACAGGCGTGCCGCAAGGCGGAATACTTTCTCCTTTAATGTTTTCTTTATTCATAAATTCTATCACTTCAGTTCTCAACTGTTCGTACCATCTGTATGCAGATGATCTTCAGCTCTATGTGCAATCTAGTGTTAACGACCTTAATGATAATATTCATAAACTCAACCACAACCTCGATGCCGTTAGAGATTGGTCGTGGTCGACAGACATGGTGTTTTAGTTAACCCAACCAAATGCAAAGCAATGGTTATAGGTAGTAGCAGAATGTTAGGTAAGATTAATAACGATAACCTTGCTCCCGTATTTTACAATGGCACGTTGTTGCCATTTTGTAAGTCTGTCAAAAATCTTGGCTTACATATAGACCATACTTTAAGCTGGGAAGTTCAAGTTGCCGAAACAAGCCGTAAAGTAACTGCCACCTTACGTTCTCTTTGTCGTCTCAAAAACTTTCTGCCTTTTAAAACTAAACTTCTGCTAATCCAGACTTTGATATTACCCATTATTGATTATGCAGATGTGTGTTACCCAGATCTATCTTAATATCTTCTCGATAAGTTGGAGCGCCTTCTCAACAATTGCATTAGATTCATTTTTGGCTTACGTAAGTATGACCATATTTCCCAGTACCGATCTAAGCTTAAATGGCTATCTATTCGTCAAAGGCGTAGCTCCCGAACCTTGCAAGTACTACATTCAATTTTAAATGACCCCAATTCTCCCTCTTATCTTAAGGATAACTTTCAATATTTGTATTCCACTAACGATAGAGTTCCCCGTTCCCAAAATTGTCTTAAAATTCGTATTCCACCACATAGGAGTGGTTTCTATAATTCCTCTTTTACTGTGCAGTCTATACTGCTCTGGAATGCCTTGCCTGTTGATATCAAGAAAATTAATAACAAGAATTTTTTTAAAAGACTAGTTCGAGAATTCTGTCGTAAGAATAATACCACCTGACTATCCGACTATTGTTTTTGTGTTTTTTTTTCTCTTTGACTTTATAAGTAATATTTTGTATAATGTATTTTAATATGTATTGTGTTATTTTATTTTTTGTCTCATAATATTTTATTTACTTATAGTTTTGTATAGAAGTACCCGTATATATATTTATTATTTATCCTATATTATATATTAAGTAAGTATGTATATTTTACTAACTATATATTTATTCTATTTATTTGCATTTTATTTTGTTTTATATCATTATTATTTATTTATGAAGTGATTTATTACACCTGCCACAGTCTCTCAAATCATCCAGGGTTGACTGGCAGAGAATGCCATAAGGCATTAAGTCCGCCCTTTATATCCCTTAGTATATAAGGTGTATAATGAAGATTAAATAAATAAATAAAAATAAATGAAAGTCCAATCCATCCCATTGTTGACACCTACGTTACTTAGACCCTCACGGTCAGGTCCTGCATAGACCGTTGGAGTTCCTTGTCAGCGCCTCTAAGATTAGTGCCATTGTCTGAGTACAAGTGACGTGGCCAGCCACGCCTCGCTGCCATCCGACGCAGTGCCATGATTAGAGAATCGGTCGTCGAGGAGGCAACGGTCTCAATGTGGATTGCGCGCAACATCAAGCATGTGAAAAGGACACCGTACCTCTTTTCCCTGCGTCTGCCTACTGTGACCTCCATCGGTCCAAACAGGTCCAACCCGCAGTATGAAAAGCGGCGCTGATGATGAGCCACGCGAGCCTGAGGTAAGTCACCCATGCGAGGAACCTGCGGCTTACACTTATTAATTCGGCACACCATACACTGCGACACCACAGTCTTTACGGTAGGTCTAAGTCGTATTAGTCAGTATTTTTCCCTCAGTTGATTTACTACTGTTTCTTGGTTGCCATGAGCCGCCTTTATGTGGTAGTGCCGAACAATAAGTCTAGCCACAGGGTATCGCCCGTCCAACATTACAGGTCTCTTTACCTCCATAGTGACACTTGCAGCAGCATCGATACGACCGCCCACATGAAGCAAGCCATGTTCATCCAAGAACGGTGAGAGAGTAAGTAACCGACT